CGCTACCGGTTCTCCAAACTACTCAAAATTTCTGCTACCGGTTCTCCAAACTACTCAAAATTTCCACTACCGGTTCTCCAGAACTGGTCAGAACCTATTGAATACCACCTCTGAGATAAGCTAACATTGTTCAATATTCAATTGGTGCAATCATTCCATTGGTGGAAAATGAGGAATTCAAACTTGTTCATTTGGTTTCCAGATGAAAAGAGAGTGCTTATGGCCTGAAACGAGGATTGGATTGTCCATACCTTCCTCGTCCCAGATACGAAAATGAAAACAAGGAAAGGGGAAATTTATTCAACAAGATTGACTTTTCCTGGCAAGATACTCTTTCCTCCTTAAAGAGAAAGGGAAGCAAAACAGATTAGTTGCCTAAGCATTCACCACTGGCATAGTAATTAACATATAGGATCAGCTCCCAACCAACCTGAAAATGATATTGTGACTATAGGTAGTTCTCAATTTATGGCCAGAATTGGGATTGGCAATCTGGTCATAAGTCATTAGGATTGTAAGCCGAGGCACCCATGTGACTCAAAGTGATTTTACATTTTTTGCACCAGTCATTAAGCAAATTTGTTGTCCTAAGTATGAATCCATTCATTAAAATGGATTTGAATTACAAATCAGTCAAATGACCACAAAATGCCACAACCAGTTATAAAGTTGGTTGGTATCCAACACCCAATTTGCAATCACATGATTGGGGGGAGCAGTATGACCACCTGAGATGGCAGGGGTGTGATCATTCTGTGGCATAAATGCTTTCACAGTTGTTAAACAATTGGTCATAAGTTGAGGACTAATTGTATTGAAAAATAGAACTGTTATTTAAGTTTTTAAACATTATATATGAGCACAATTGTTCCTGGTTATAAAATATAACCAGATGCCTTCCAGAGTTATCATGCTCAAATGCAGAAAACTACCAATCAACATGGATACCATATTAATTTTTTGAAAATCAGACACCTGAGTTGGTGTGGAGTTGAAAAGAACTTAGCTCCTGAATTTGAGGCAGAAACACTCAACACTTTTGCAAAGTGACTTTTTGCTCACCTCACCACTGACAATAAGAATCACAAATACTTTGGGGGAAACAAAAAGCATTTTATTAAAGGGGTTCAAGACTTTATATAGGGCAGAGAAAGACAAATAAGACATTGATTAGATATGAGAAGAAACAGATCCCTAAACCAAGGGTCTTCAAACTTGACAGCTTTAAGATTTGTGGACTTCAACTCCCAGAATTCCTGAGCTAACATGACTGGAGAAAGAATTCTGGGAATTTAAGTCCACAAGTCTTAAAGCTGTCAAATTTGAAGACCCCTGCCCTAAACAGTGGCTTGGTGGACCAGCGAGGGTGAAGGAATGGTTCTGTGCGAGCCGCAAGCATGCATGTGAACATGCTCAACTTAATTTGTGCAAGTATGGGTCATGTGCACCCACCATTTGCACAAATGGACCTGCAAAAGCACACCTGCTCACCTGCCACTTGCTCGGTCCAGTTCTGAATGAGCCGTGGCCTGGGAGTGAGCCGCAGACTGGGAATTGGGGACCCCATATCCTAAAATATGTTGTATCTTCTCCTTTTCCACTCAGGGAAAACTCTTATGTCAATTTCGGGCTTGACAGCCTGTTTCTTTAACATTTGCAACACTCAAGGATTTCAGAATACAGCCTTATTGTTTGATTAATGATCCTCGAAAGGGCTAAATTTTGCACATTAAAATAAATGGTTTTGGTTTAAAGGGAAAACATGATTTCCTAAACTTAAAAAGGAGGGCGAGAAACAGACTCACCAGTCAGAAATTTGACAGAGTCATGAAGTGAAGCAGCAAACAGTTTATTATAAAAGATGTTCTTGCAAGAACGGGTGGCCAGCTATGTGGGTTACATGCAGGAATAGATTTCATCAAATTTTTATTCCCTCAACCCAAAGCACAAATCCCTCCCCTGAAGCCCTCTTTGACAAAGACTACTGAGTCACAGTCTTCTCAGAATTCCTCTTCCCCTCTTCATGAACATCTCCATGTTTTACCTGTCTCCTCGCCTTTTGCCCAGTTTCCTTTTTTTCCTAGACTACCTTTCCCCTTTTTAAATTGATAAATTGAAGCAAGCAAGTAATTTCTCTACTACCAAATGTGCCAGGCTGTATGGTTAAAACTGTTGGCTAGTCTGCTTGCACAAGCTGACTTGCTTATCGGAATAGCTGACTCTTCCTGTTTTCCAGTCATGACCTTTTTGCCTTTGACGTCCCAATGTCCTTTTGAACTTTTAAACACACATCTGTTATTTATTTTATTTTTATTTATTTTATTTATTTGTCAATTGTTTACAAGATAATAAGTATAAGTGTATACATAGTTATGAATACATGAAATGGGTACATATAAGAAAAATAAAAGAAACAATAGGACAGGGACGGTAGGCACGTTGGTGCGCTTATGCACGCCCCCTACAGACCTCTTAGGAAAGGGGTGAGGTCAATAGTAGACAGTCTAAGGTTAAAGTTTTTGGGGTTTGGCGAAGAAACTATAGAGTCGGGTAGAGTATTCCAGACATTGACCACTCTGTTGCTGAAGTCGTATTTCCTGCAATCAAGCTTGGTGCGGTTAACCTTGAGTTTGTATCTGTTGTGTGCTCTTGTGTTGTTATGGTTGAAGCTGAAGTATTCATTGACAGGTAGGACATTGCAATGTGTGATTTTATATACCATGCTTAAATCAGACCGAAGACGGCGTAATTCAAGGTTTTCTAGTTCTAGAATTTCAAGTCTGGTGGCATAAGGTATTCTACAACGAGTAGAGGAGTGGAGAACTCTTCTTGTGAAATATTTCTGGACTTTCTCAATTGTGCTAATATCAGATACGTAATGTGGGTTCCAGACTGATGAGCTGTATTCGAA